GTTCAGTCAAAGGTTATATGCATTTATGATTTTGGTAGATATTGTGAAAGTGCCCCATTTGTCTCAGTGGCTCCAGTCCTGCCTGCTCTGAAATGGAAGGGATGGTCCTCATCTGGATTCACAGAGCCGCCAAGCAGCTGTCTGAGTGCCACGGAGCGAGAACTTCCTCGATGATCACGCTCCTATGAGCCGATTGTGCAGTCCTGGTTTGCAGTCATGCTCTGGTTCCAAGTCTTCTTTGCCGATAGGATTGTCTTGAAATAGTTGTGGGAAATCAGGCACCTTGTACCGTGGTGCCTATTTCACCCGACCGATCACAGGGAAAGCAAACTGAAGGGCTGGGCCGCTGTAAAACGGTGAGGTGGCAGTTAATGAAGAGGCGACTGTATCTGACGACATTCATTGCCAAGTCGAACAGCCACTGCACCTTAACGCAGGGCACCGGATCCTTCCATTGATCTCCCCCTTCTCTTTCTCTTTTTAGTACTTATTGAGCACCTATCATGTTCATTGATAGGGGTTTTTGGAGCACAAAGGAAAAGAGGATGCACAGAGTAGGGACAGGTCAGGAAGTCTTCCCAGAGGAAGAGCCATTTAAGTAGTTCTTTTTTTTTTTTGAGGTGAAACTCACATAGCATAAAATCAATCATTTTAAAGTATACAATTCAGTGGCATTTGGTACAGTTACATCGTTGTGCAACCACCACCTCTATGTAGTTCCAAAATATTTCATCACTCAAAAGGAAACTTGATATTCATTAAGCAGTTACTCCCCATAGGGAGGGTTTTAAAACAAGGAGGAAGCGTTACACGGGCAAGCTTGGGAAGGAGGCCATTCTAAAAGGGGAACTTTACAAAGGGCTTGGGACATCAAGTCACTTGGGATGGTGCAAATGCGTGTGTTGTGGGGATGAAGAAGTGACGGGATGAGGCACAAAGGAAGGCAGGGCAAGGGCGGTGAATGTAAGGTGTCAGCTCTGTCCTACAAGCAGCTCGAGCTAATGAAGGGTGGTGGGGGAGTTGGTGATTACGGGACCCATCTGAGTAACCTTCATTCCTGAAGAGATAGTGTCAATGTTAATATGAATTCAGTTTCAGCCAAGGTTTCTTAACCTTGGCACTACTGACATTTTGGGTTGGATAATTCTTTGCCATGGGGGCTGCCCTGTGTGTTGTAGGATATTTAGCATCATCTCTGGCCTCTACCCACTACCTACCAGTAGTATCTATCCCACTGCACCCCAGTTGTGACATCTCCAGACATGTTGTCAAATGTCCCCTGGGAGAGGGGCAAAATTGCTCCCAGTTGAGACTGCTGGAAGGACTCTGACTCCGTACTCCACAATTCTGAGGAGCGGGTGAATGACACGGTGCTGTGGGAGGCACCCTCTCCGAGCTGTATGGAGACAGCAGGACACAGGGCAAGACCACTTCTGAGGACTGGGATTTGGGTCCTAAGCTTAGAAACACAAGCAAATTAGTGTTAAAACATTGTGGCATTTTAAAAAATTCCTTCCTCCATTTGTTCAACAAGCACTTAAAGCCTACTATGTGCCAGGTACTGAGGATACCACCCCTGGCATGAGTTGCTGAGGGATTTAGCATCTCTTTCACTTCCCCACAAAAGAAGACCTCTACATTTTGTAGAGAGTATTGGCTCATCCCAGAAGGGGCAGAGAAAGGAGCAAGGTGAGGCTGTGGGAGAGCGGTGGGAGACTGGCAAGTGGTGGTAGTGGTGGTGGGGTCACTGGGATCAGCTTGTGCCTTGCTCCCTGCCAGTGTCGCAGTCCCTCACAGTGCTCCTGGGAGTGGGAGCACCTCAGGGCAATGGCTGTGGGGTGGGGTGCCCCAGGCAGGCTGAACCCCAAGCCCAGGGGCTCCTTGACAAAGATCCATGTGCTCAAGGGTGACATAGAAGCAGAGCAGCTGGTGGCTTCAAGGAGGACTACATGGGCTCAGACAGTGAGCACATCCATGGGTCCAGTGTGGACTGGAGTGCCTGCCCCAAATGTTCTGGACTGCAAAAGACTCTTGGGAGCTTTGCACAACCAAAGAGACAAGGGGAAGGAGCTTCAATTACGACCAAGATTGATTTTTTTGTTTGTTTTGCTAAGCTCAGTAGGATGGGGGCTCTGAGTCAGACATAATTGAATTTAGAAGAGTTATGTGGCAGTTTCTGCATAAAGTTCATAAACATTATATAAAGGTGAACAGACACTGCCCTAGCCTCCAGGGACTTGCCGTCTAATGGAAAACTCCTCCTGCCCCCACATTATTTTTTGAGAACATTCTGAGGAATTCTGTACCATTGTCATCTTTTATTTGATTCAATCTCTACAACTGCATAAAGTTGCCAGAGTCCATTTTGCAGACAAGAAAGCTGAACTTAGAGTGGTTTAGCGACTTGCCCATGGCCTGAAAATATCAGATGCAGTGCCAGAATACAGAACTTCTGACTGCAAGCCTCGTTCTGTCCACTGCCCCAACCAGCCCTTCTGATTATAGCTCACGAGCAATGAGGAAACTTGGCTTAGGCAAAGGCCAGCTGATGGCTATCGGGTCTACTCTGATCTCTTGGACTTCTTTCCTTATCTGTAAAAGGAGAACACTGCCTCACTAGGTGAACAGGATTTTGCCTGTATGTATGCATGAAGCAAAGTGCCAGGTGTACATTCCATGCGTTAACTCACTATAACACACTGGCACAGATAATAGTCTCGAGCTGCCAGACATTCTTGAATAGAGTGATGAGGGGTTGAAAGGTGTTTCGGGAGATAAACTAGGCAGGCTCTGTGCAGAGCAGGCTGAGAAGGGTAGGTGAGAGGCAGGGCCCCCAGCTCAGAGGGCAGCTAGTACATGGAGGTCAGTAAGGTACAACAGGACCCAGGCTTGTGGGACATGCAACAGGAGACAGGAGAGGGAAATGGAGAGGACTGAGGACTCATTCCAGGGTGAAAAACACAAAATGTCATCTTCTCGGCATATTACCCATGATGAGAGGGAGAACCATCAGGATTAAGGGCCACATTCATTTAGAGATAACTTGTCACTTTGGAGGAAATGATGATGTTTAAACCATACTTTTTTGGCACTGAGTTAAAAGCAGCTGCGAACCATATTTGCCTGCTCGCCCTCAAGCTGTAAGTAATTTCATGAGTAAAAGGCTGATTGGATGTTCGAGAATATCTAAAAGAAATGTACTAATTAAGAGAAAAGCGACTGTTTCCTAAGAGCTTTATATCTCAAAGGAGGGAAACGGAATATCACAGGTCAGGATAACGAACTGAAAGAGAGTTGAAAGAGAGTTTTACGAGGGTGAGGAGAACACTGTCAAGTGATCTCCAGGATTCCTCTAAGCAGAAAGTTACAGACTTTTCAGCACCCAACCTCCTTAGCTTTTAAATGTCTTCAGAGAATTGACAATAGAGTTTTGCAAGCAGAGCAGCTTTGCCGCGGCGGGGAAATCTTAGCCGAGCGGAGCGGAAGGCACCAGGCTAAAGTGTATTCCTGTCTGTTCCAATGCAGCCAGAAAATGTGTCTTCCGGAGAAGCAGACTTGTTTTCCTCCTGGCCTTTGCTTTAGAGAAACAAGAGAAAATGTCCTGCTAGCAAATATCTTCCATGAGATTCTCCTGCCACCTTTTTTTTTTTTCTTCCAGGCATCTCTGATATCAGAGAAGGCATGCTGGGGCTGAGCCTCACACCCTTTCCCAAGGAAAGGCCAGGTTAAACAGGAGCGGCAGCCCGTCAAAGCCGTTCCACCTGGAAAGGAAACGCACCACGGCCCTGGTTCGGGTGGCACTAAGCACCTGTACTGAAGCGCTTTGTCAGGCTCGGCCTCGGCCCCCTCTAGGAAGAGCTCTCAGGTTCTCAACTAGAAGGTACGAAGAATTGGGCAGGAAGGTTGGTCCAAATTAAAGCTACTAAAAAACATTTTCTAAACTTCAATGTATTACTTCCTGTAAAGGAATAGTGATTTACAAACCACTCCTCTTTATTAAGCACTTGGCTAGTAGTTAGCATTCCTTGAAAATAATCAAGCCACAGGGCTTTAAGTAGATTCTAAATGTATCACCTTTAAACTCAAGCAAAATTGTTGGGCATCAAAGAATGCTCAAGGTTCAAATCCTTGCTTTGCTTTTCACTCTGATTTTGAGCAAATTACTTAATCCTTCTGGGCCTGTTTCCTTATCTGTAAAAGGGAAGGCTACCTCACTGAGTGGCATTGGATTTTACGTATGTCTATGCGGGGGTGTGCACACACAGGGCCGGGCACAGGTTAGGCAGTCAAAAAAGGTTAGGATCCCAAGGAAGAGGTGGCATTTTAGAGGCCATGTGAGTGGATGGGAGGGAAAAGCTGAGGTGGCCAAGAAAGGAAGAAGAGTACGGTCAGATAAAGAGGATAAAGGGTGTTGGGGTGGGGAGTGACTGCTAATGGGGACAGGGTTTCTTTTTTGGGGAGATGAAAATGTTCTGAAGTTAGATAGTGGTGCTGGCTGCACAACTAATACACTAAAATCCATCAGTACATTTTAAAAGGGTGAACTTTATGGTACATGAATTACATCTCAATTATACTATTATTTTAAAAAATGATACAGAAAAGACGAATAGGAACATTTGGAGAGGTGATGGGAAATGAGGGATTTTCAAATTCTCTAGTGGGGTGGAGAATCAAGTTCTGATCTGTAGGATACAAAGTCTTTATTTAGGGAGGGTGAGAATGTTTTTCTTGCTAAATTCTACAGTTTACATTCCCATCATACCTTCTGAAGTTTTATTTTGATAAGAGATTCTCCTTCATTTCTTGGGCTAAATTATCAGTGGACTATTCATATGTTTTTGAATGATGGGCAATAGCTTTTCACTACACACCTGTATTGTTTCACCCTGGGTTTTAGGACATCATGAGAAACACTTACCAACACCAAAGATTTCATAGTCACTATCCCAAACTGTCTCGATGATACTGTTCTAGCACAAACAACCATACGACACCAGTTTAAATTTCTAATTTATTATTAAATTACATAACAAAGCTTCTTCTATACAGTCAGAAAATGCACATTTAGATGAGAACAAAAATTAAGTACAAATACAATAAAACTGGTTCCAAGAAGCCATTTTAAAAGCAAAAAATTAGAAAGTGCATTTGGAATAGATTTTTAGAAGTCTGTATTGGCATTTTTCAAGAGGAAACGTCTTCCATCGTGGTAAAGTGTGAGCGGAATCGAAACCCTTCCCTAAGAGCTAATAGGATGGGAACAGATGCAAATACTTCGATACTAAAGTGAGACTTTAGGTACAGAGAAAACGAGAAAGATCCCCCAAGACATGGCTCAGCTTTGTCTCAGCTTCTTATCCAATAAACATCCTTAGGAGTCACTTGTTCCTTCCTCATTTTATTTTCCCCTATAAAACTTCAGGTATGCAGGTTTACAAAGGAATGATAAGGTTAGTTTATAAAGACCGTGATGAAAAGCTCTGCATCTTTTTGGAGACCAGGCTAAAGAATCCCTAACTCAAAAGGAGAATGAAATTTTCTGAGTGGAACCCATTTGTCCCTTAGTTACATTTGCCACATAATTCAGGGTAACACTAGACACGGCCATTTACCCTCAACAGCTGCATATCGCCAGTTAGAAAACTCAGTCAATTTCCAAGAAGTCAGATCTGGCTACTGATCAAATATGAGGTATGAGAAAACCAAAAAGGCTAGTCCAGTTCTTTAAAGTCCTTCTCGTCAGGTTGAGATTATTTACAGTGAAATAGAGAATTAACAGTGGGAATGAGAGTCCAACGTGCCTCTAGTGCTCGGAGGCCAAAAGTCACTGGATCAAAAGGCTCAGTGAGCACATTTCTCTGTTCAGACGTATTCAGCATCCAATAGGAAAGAACTGAAGTAAATATTATTTGGTTCCAGGTACAAAAAGTGCCCTCACGATGTCTCCTCCCATCACCTGTCTCTATTCTCAGGATTTTACTCCCATGGCTGATCTGGGTACTGGGCAGCAGGGAAAAAGGCGTTCTCTGTAAAAGTGAATTTTGGTACAAAGGAGAGAGGAACAGGGAGAAAGAAAGCTCTTTTCTAACACTAGAAAAATAAAAGGTGAGCAACACTGGTTACAGAGAATCCTTCAGCATCACTAATAATAATAAGGAAACGATGGGAGAGACAGCCAGGACAGATCAGCTAAAGCACTTGGAGATCCGGGCCTGAACTTGAGGAATAGATTTATTACACATTTTTTACTAAAGTTATCAGCACACATTAAAACAAAATCTTAGAAGTATATTTTTTGAAATTTTCTTTTTGTTGCCATGGTTTTTCAAACTTTTTAGTGAAATGCAAAGTTCTGAGTGGTTACTAAAGAGATCACAAAAGGAAAGACCCATTATATAAGACAATGTCTGAGGGAGAATAACTTCCCCTAAGAGACAACATTTGGGACCAGGAATAGAAAACTCCTTCTTACCCGCTGGCTCCGACTGACTTTAACAAGTAACTTACTCTTGGCCCCTGACCCTAGCAACTGGTCTGTAAGGACAGCAAAAAAGGGGAGAAAAACAAGATGGCAAAAAAAAAAAAAAAAAAAAGTTAGATGGCATGAAATTGAAAGGGTTCAAATCAGCTATCATGGGATCCACATTGAGCCTCTTACTTATAAACGGCATGCTTCTATTTCCTTAAATAAAGGAACCAGAAGAGGAAAGGATGAGCACTGGCCTAGCTATCGCATTTGGCCCTGGGTCACCTGACTATGGGCTACAGCTCTGGGAGGTTAGTCAGACCTAGCTGACACCAACATCTACACGAAGCTTTTTCAACTTCCTTGGAAGAACTAGTTTATTTTCATAAGGAAAATAACCAACATAATTCTCTTACTTCATTTAAGCATAACCCTACGGAAAGGCTCGTCAGCCAGCAAGTGTGTGTCTGCTTAGCTGCCGCAAGCTGGATCAGCCTGGGTCCTAGTTTTACTCTCACACAATCAGCTTTAACGAGTGCACCAAATAATCAGACCAGTAAAAAAGACTGGTAGTATAATTAAATAAATAACTTTATTTATGATACTTCGGATTCATAAATGCCAACTATATAGCAACCAAAGTCCCATAAATTCTAGCTGAGGCACAACCACCAATCAAGACCCTTTGAAAAATCAAAGATAATAAAGTGTCAGGGAGAGAAGTTTTGTTCTCCCAACAGAGACTTTAATAAACGAACTTACCTCCCTGATCCTTTAAAGTTCACTTTGGGAAAACTTCCAAACTTTATCTTTAAAGGGCATTCCCAATCAACTAACTGATTAATCAACCCATATTTAGAAAAATAAACCCCAAAGATAAAAAAATATATCAAATGCCCTTCACACCCAGAACATAATAAAACTTTGACACCAGAATGAAAAACTTCTCAGTCTCTATTCTAGACCATGGCTTAGTTACCCTTCAGCCAGTATATCAGGTTCATCTGAATGACGCCGTTAGCACACTATGACGTAGTTCAGAACTACATGCTAATATCAATTATTCTCTGTGGCACAGTCTGAAGCCAACACTATAAATACCACAGTAAATTCCAATGGTAAAAAGCAGCCTTCTTTCTTGGTGTGTATATGGCGGAAGTCTTCAAACTATTTGTGGTGGTTCAGTTAAACAAGTAATAAACATACAGAAACTGAGAAATGGTTAAACTTGAACAGAATTCTGGTGGGTGGTTTAAAATTTTGTCACTGTCCAGGGATGGTAATAGAAGACGGGTGCAGACAGCGACAGATTCTGTCACACGCACCTTCAACACCCAAACTATTCTCTGGATGTTTGGAAAAGCTTAACAGATTTGGAATGAACAGGTTTCACAGAGCACAGAATTCCTGGTGCATCAGGCAGTAGTTCTTAAGCTTTTGTTCACAAACTGCAGAGCATTTACAAACAGAATTATCTGGATACTGATCCCTCCAATCAATGTCTTTTTGCATGTGGCCTGTTGAACAGATCCCACTGAAAACTTAGCAGTCCCCTCACTCAGGTACCAGTGTCAATCCCGACATGAGAGGAACAGCAGGGGGCACTGCCAGACATGGGCTATGAGTTTCTTTCGTCATGATAGAACTGAGATTTCATTTTCTTGTGGCAGCAGATATTAATCCAGTGGAAAAAAGGAACAAAAAACAAAAACGACGACTGAATCCTTTTAAAAAAGCTTGTCATTCTTGACGTTTTTCCAGAAATACAGTTAACCCCAGTGTGTGCAGGATTAGAAAAAAAAAAAGAAAATGAAAAAAGCTCTTTTGTGGTGTTTGTCTTCTGTTTCAGACAACCTCAACGATGTTGAAGTTGGCCTGTCAGCATCTCAAAGAATTTGTGAAAAACGAAATTTTCCTTGAATACCAAAAGAGTTGGGGGGACAGAGCAGAAATTTACAGCACAGATTATCAAGAAATGACTTGTGATTTCTCATCATGAGTGTAAAATAAAAGGACAAGAACTATTTTTATTCACAACCCAATCTGGTGGCTGAAGAGAAAGCAGTCTTTGGATATACAGAAACCTGGTTTTCTGAAGAGTCCAGCTTAAAACCTGGCTTATCAGCAGCCTTCAACACTATCACTGAAGCACAGAAACTCAGTTTCCGATTGGTTTACTTACCTCCTGGGGAGACAAAAGCAACTGAAAAAAAAAAATTTTTTTTTTAACTAAAACAGAAGGAAATGAGTGTTAGAAAAGATAGCACAGAAAAACTGTAGCTTCAGCTCAACCTGACCAGGTCACAGAGTCCATCGCCATCAGTCTTGAATTAATCCTGCTGGTCAGGCTATCAGGACTGTCAACTTCTCTTTCCTACTCTTCCTTATTCCAGATCAGGGCACAAAAATGGCGGTTGTCACGAGTCCCTGGAGATGTGCCATCAATGGAAAGCATACAGCAGTAATAGGATGGTACAGACACCAATAACACCACCCAGGATGAGTGAGTCTCGCCGCTTCCTAAGGTTGATTCGCTGGATCAGACTGTTCACAGCAGGAAAACGATCTTTGGGAAATCTTATTAAGGTCATATCTGGAAGAAGCCTCTTTAGCGAAAAGTCATAGGAATCTCAAAAACAGAAATCAGTGGAGTGCAGAAATAATAAGCGATCAGAAGAAATAGAGGAAAGGAAAATCACATTGAGGGAGTCAAACACACATGCCAAAGCTGGGAATGTCCTAGGGCTCAAGGTTCCAAACAAATTCAAGTCTCCCAGGACACTGTGGTAGACAAATAAGAATAACAAAAAGAAACAATTCGTAGAGACAGAGGGAGAAGAAAATAACAGTGATGACAGCTGCCTGGCTTAAGAGACTCCTGCCAGGCTTCAGGTCAGGGTGGGAGGCAACGTGGGGAGGAAGAGAGGAACCCTGCAGGGGAGAGGGGCACAGGTACAGCCAGCTACCCCGACCCCATTCCACTCCTGCCTTTCTTTTTTCCTTTTTCTCCTTCTCTCTGTTTTTTGTGGGGTTTTTTGTTTAGGCTTTTTTTTTCATCCCTTCTCTCAGGAGACTGGGAAGTTTTCAGGAGAAGGATTTTGAAGAGTACTTGATCCTCTCCCCACAGGGTGATAAGGAATTGATGGGAACCAACTCTAGGCTCTGTATAATTAGGCACTGGTTAATTATTTAAATTTTTAAATTTACTTCGCAACAGTAGGAAGGATATGGTAGGAAGGATATGGTAGGAACATGGGTTAAATTGCTCTAGCTGTCCTATTTGAGGAACAAAAAAGGAAAGAGAAAATTTTCAATTTTAGGAGTTTTACAGCAGTCACAACTGTATTTGACTTAGTATTTCAAAATATCTTCATATTCTTACTTGTCTGTATGTTGTAGACCAAAGCACGTGCTTGTGCACCCTATACTGTTTTGCATTTCTAGCAATGATTTCTGACTATACACCTGCAAGTACATCCTCTTCGTTAACAGAGGTACTATATCAAGGTCAAGAAAACCACCTAGGATTCTAGAGAGCTGAAACAATCCTTAGTCCCTGCGAATCCTCCTTGCATTTCCTTGTGACAAAAGGACTCTCAGCAGGGACTATACTCAGTTGTGCACGTGTACACTCTACATCTTGTGTGATTAGGGTCACGCTTTCTTCTAATCTTGAATTTCCTTGTGCATCTAGAGCAGAGCTTTATACTCTGTAGGAATTAATGTGTTTTCTGAATTAATTAAAAGAAAAAATAACAATTTGCAGAAACAATTTTTAAAATTTGGAAGAGCAGGAAGCATGAAGCAATGGGCAAAACTTTTACAAGCTATAAATCTCATATAGAGCAAATGCTCACTTCATCTTTTCTCACTCAGTAAAAGCAGCATCAACAATTCCCTTAGAGAAAGTACACAACCTTTTGGCAACAGGAAACCCAGTGTACAGTGGACATTCTTCTGTCTAGTCTACCTGTAGGGAACCCTCCACTCTCCCCCTATAATAATCTAGTTCACGCCATGAAACAGGGTGGGGCGGACCTTGTCCTCTCCATCAGTGTACATACAAACTCAGATTGGCCAGGAAGAATATCCCCTCCCCTTGGCCAGTGACTGCGTTAGGAAAAGGCAGTGACTCAACATGGGGCAACCACAGTCCCATTGGGACATCTGCCACAGCTGTCAGAAAAGACCCCCTTTTCCACGGGGATTTTTGAACTGGTAGGAGGTGACTCCTGTAGCCATCTCTCTCACCATGAGGAGAAAACCTGCCTGAGAATGAGACCAACACAAAGGAAGGCAGAAATAAGAGATGGAGTAGGTAGGGGGGACAGAGGAAAGGCAGATTCTTGATAATAAAATCTGCGCCCCTGAATCCAGCCATGCCTTAAGCTAAATTCTACCCCTGAAATTTTACAGATACATGAACAAATTAATTCTCTCCTTTTTCCCCTAAGTCAGTCTGAATTTGGTTTCTGTTACTCTCTATGGAGTCCTGACTAACTCACATCCATTTTATTTTATTTTATTTATTTATTTTTTTTTTAAGATTTTATTTTTTCCTTTTTCTCCCCAAAGCCCCCCAGTACATAGTTGTATATTCTTCGTTGTGGATCCTTCTAGTTGTGGCATGTGGGACGCTGCCTCAGCGTGGTCTGATGAGCAGTGCCATGTCCGCGCCCAGGATTCGAACTAACGGAACACTGGGCCACCTGCAGCGGAGCACATGAACTTAACCACTCGGCCACGGGGCCAGCCCCATCACACTCATTTTATTTTTTAATACACATTCTTTTGGAATGATTGTAATTTGTGGTAATGATAAAATGAGATAATATATATAACAATACTCTTTAAACTATATAGTCCTATATAAAATATGATTTTGGATATGTGGTTTTATATTTAGGGTGACAAGGCAAGAACAAAATTCACAAAAAACTGGAAAATATCAACAGACTTCAGGATACTGTTTTCCTCAGGCAAAAAAGGTATCAAACTAAAAGTGACCTTAAATTATCTAGGTCCAGAAGATATTCAACTTTGGAAAATTACAGGTCTGTCCTCCCTTAGTAACTGGGGAAGGAAACTTTTCTCCCCTAAAAGGCTTGACTTCTCAAAAAGTAAACAAAACATTTCAGAGTAGCAGGCTTTGTTTACCCACTGGGTTTCTCAGAAGTCTTTAGTAATACTAATTTAAATTGTGAAACTGAAGAATTAAAAAGGTAGAGGTCACGACAAACAAGCGGTCGGATCTATGCCAGCATTCAGCCTGCGAATAACGAGTCACAATGAAGAGACTCTGTCAGCAATCACAACTCATCTAGTATCCGGCTGTCTCCCTCCTTCCCCTTCTCAGCATCTGTCGCTGATTTATTCTCCAAACTGGGAAAAGAAAAAAGAAAAAGCATACAATTTATGATGCTTAGGTAAGGATCAGGTATACTGTGGAGTTCTAACATGGATTCAAGAGCTTTTAAAATATAAAACAAGTTTGTGAATAATTTGAAAATTCACACTTGTAATTTTTTTCTAAATCTATTAACATCAAACCTCCAGTGTGCAATCTTTTAGAAATGGTACTAAACAATATGAACTTCCATAAAGTGGGAGTACAGGACATATTGATATTCTGCAACGACTGACGGCCTCTACTGCGACTGACAATGGCAACCTGCCAAAACAAAACACACAGATTTCCCCCCCCAAAATCACAGATTTCAAACTTTCAAAAAGGATACTGGCCAAAGTGTTCATTTTGCTCTGAATCGACTTCAACATTCCTCTCTGTGAGGTCATATTTTCTTTTGTTGCCATAGCAATGCTGCAAGTGGGAGGGGAGAGAAGACAGTGAAAGTGGCATTTAAGATCATCCTGCATAGATCCATCACATCCTTAAAAGCGAACAGAGAACTAAAGTGAGCAACATCATCTTGAAAAGCAGTGGGCAGGAAAATGGAGAAAAAAGAAAGAAATCACTTCCAAGCCACCTTCCACTGTGATTTTTCTGAATGACCACTCCATCCCCACTGCTATCCTCTGATGGCTTTTTGGACAAGGCAATAGGCCATTTCCTATGACTTTTTTCAAAGTAACAAATGAAATAACAGACAAATCACATATACAAAAGCTTCTTAAAATGGTTTTGAAAGGGGCCAGCTACAAAAACACTCTTAATCAGAAAAAAATATTGAGGGAGAAGTAGGGAATTACAATCATAAAAACAGAACCAGAAGTGTAACATATCACAAAATATTCATATACAAACAGCCCTGAATTTATGAAAAGATTATGTTCCAAAATTCTACTTGAGAATCAAGTAGGCAGATGTAGGACACACATGTCACATTATGCTGGGTTTCCAAGCCAGGTGACAAAGGTCACAGATTCATTAAACGACTGAGAGAGAAGTGAAAAAGTCCCTTCTCTTACAAAGACTGTATTTTGTAGAGTATAGCCTCTTCCATGTGACTACTCTGATATCCTGTTTAAAAGAACCTCAGTTAATATCTTTTTGCTATCACTGTCAAGATTAACTTTCAATAGTCTTATCTACCTGGAGATTAGAATCCTAGAGGGCAGGGTCTGTATCCACACCCCCCCCCCCCCCCCAAGGAAGATTCACGCTGAGCTAACATCTGTTGCCAATCTTCCTCTTTTTTTTTGCTTGAGGAAGATTAGCAATCTTCCTCTAATTTGTAGGTGGGTCACCACCACAGGATGGCAGACAAGTGGTGTAGGTCCATGCCCGGGGTTCCAAACCTGCAAACCCAGGTTGCCTAAGTGGAGCAGGCTGAACTTAACCACTATGCCCTGGGGCCAGCCACAGTATCCATTTTGATATGTAACACACAGGGGAGTGCTTTAGATATTGACATTATAAAAAGCAATAGGAAACAGAATGTTCTTGAGTAATTCTGAAAATATGTGAAACATTAAAAAAAAAAAAAGCAACAGAGATGAAGAAAATCTTAGAAGATGGTGGTAAGAGTACAAATTCCTGACTTCATCTCTGGCCCAATTTCCTCCATGGAGGAACACAAGAACAAAGGCAGACATGCGGGGGAGGGCCCATCTGAGGGCCCAAGTTCTTTTGAGATCTCCAGGGGAGAAAGCCAAGCAGAGGACTACACTCTCTCAAGCAAGGGAAGAACCTGGGAACTAACAGCAGAGACTAGATTTTTCTTCACGCCTGGGGCAAAGACCTAGGTTTCACTGCAGCCCGAGGAGCCTAGACAGTGGAAGATATGGATCTGAATGTACAGGGGCTGCAGTGACAGGCTGAACTGCTCCTAGTCCCTGAAGCTGGGAAAGAACTGCTACGCACAGAGAAACCTACAAGCAGAGAGCCAACAATCTACCAGCTGGTGTGATGCCCAGCCCCGAAGGGAAAAAGCTGCTGGGCCATCCACTACCATTGGTATGCCACTGCTTAAAGGTCTCTAACAGAGCCTGACCTATCTGGTTGCTGATTGACACACTTTTGGACAGGCAACACCAGGTATCCCATTGGAGGAAAACACTAGAGGGAGTACTCTAAGCAAATGACAAATGAATCAAAACTGAAATTTTAAGATTTGAAAAGGCAAAGAAGAAACAAAGTGTGTAAGGAGATACATAAAAGGATATATATTGAAGCACTGTTTGGAACAGTAAAAGACAAACAAGCAAAAAAACACCCACCCCCCAAACTGGAAACAACACTGGAATGGTTTACCAGATTATGGTATAACCACACTATGAAATAATACTTGGTTATTAAAAATAATGAGTTGGGGGGCTGGCCCTGTGGCCAGTGGTTAAGCTTAGTACATTCTGCTTCAGCAGCCCAGAGTTTGGTTCCTGGGTGAGACCTACACCACTCATCAGTGGCCATGCTGTGGGAGTGACCCACATACAAAATAGAGGAAGACTGGCACAGATGTTAGCTCAGAGCGAATCTTCCCCAAGCAAAAAGAGGAAGATTGGCAATGGATGTTAGCTCAGGATGAATCTTCCTCAGCCAAAAAAAAAGAATGAGTTGGTATTATTTCTATTAACATGGAAGGATGTTTATGATATACTGAATGATTAAAGCAAGCTACAGAATGTGTAGAGTAAGAGTCCTTTTTTATTTTAAGAAATAAGCAAAACATCTTTGCGCATGTTTTTATAACACTGAAAAAGGTATCAGAAAGATACACAATCGTCAGTCAGTACAAGTTACTTCAGGGGTAGGAATGGGGGGACGCCAATCAGGAGGTGAACTTTTGCTTTATACATTTTAGAATTATTTAAAGTGTTACAATAAGAACACTGTACTTTTGTAATAAATATCTAATAAAGAAAATTGAAAAAAATTAGAGGAATTCCACCTAGTGATTAAGAAATGTTAATAATATCAACAAAACCAAATCTACTACTGTTATTCACCTCAGAACCACTATGAGTCATGTAATGATTTATAAAAGTTTTCCCCAGATCCTAGAAAAGCTCAAGAATTGAATGGATCAGGTATCTCTGGAGGCAGAACTACGGAATAGGGCTAAAAATGAAAATTTGTAGAGATTTGTACAAGCAGTTGCCAGATCCCTAAATTATCTTCCCCAAACCATGCAGGCAGGTGATTGTCCCCAACTCAGAAAAGACCTAAACTAAGAGAAGAGACCTTAGAGATACCGACACTTTGAAGTTCCCAACAAAACAGCCAGGTCCCTTCCTGATCACCCATTGTGAGGTCTGCACCCAGCAAGTCCGCCTACCCATGCATGCAGAATGAGCGTCCAATCACTGGGTTTGGGAGCCTCAGCCTTAAACATGAACAAAGAGCCAAAAATCACCAGATGTTGATGGCAGCCTCTAACATAAAAGGCAGAGATCCAAACTAACCAACCAGCCAACAGAAAAGTGCCTCTGAGGAAACAGAGACAATAACAGAAGCTTAAGGAACTCTAAAATCAAATATTTAATGTCTTCAAAGAGAGAAAAGAAGATATCACATCCATGAAACAGATAAATAAATTCATGTGTGTGTGAGTGTGTATCCATCCCTTAGGAAAGAGCTTATGTAAATTTAAAAAAGAAGAGTGGAAATAAAAATGTAATACAAGAGTTGAAAGGACAAATTGAGAAAACCTCCCCGAAAGTAGAAAAAAAGATAAACGGAAAACAGAGAAAAGGTATTAAAGGATCAGAAGGCCCAACTGACCTTTTAAATTAAAAACAAAAAACAAAAACAGAGAGAAGAAGGAGGGAACAAAGTGATAAATAACATTAAAAAATTTCCCAGAACTGAAGACAAGTTTCTAGATTGCCCAGCACAATGGACTGGAGAAAACGTATGCTAAGCTCATCATGGGGAGGTTAAAAACAACCAACCAAAAACATAGGGAAAAAGGGCTGATCCTAAAAGCTTCCAGAGATAAAAAGCTTATCATATACAAAGGATCAGAAATTTTAATTAGCATTGGACTTAAAAAGCAATCCTGGAAACGTCTTCAAAAATTTCAAAATTATTTCTAACCTAGAATTCTATATCTTAGCTCAACAATGAATCAAGAATATGAGTATAATAAAGACTTTTTAGATGTGAAAAGTCCAAGAAATTTACCTCCTATTCTTTCTCAGGAAGCTACTAAAGGATGTGGTCCAGCATAAGGAGGGAATAAACTAAGAAACTGGAAGACACTAAATCTAAGAAATAGGTGATCCAATGAAGGAGATCGTTTTAGATGATAGTGAAAGGACATCCCAGGACCAGAGCAGTATAGCAGGCCTAGAGAACAACCATCAAGATTAGAGCAGGAGGAGGCAGGCAATGTCAACTTTACCTTGAATTTTAGATCCAAAAAACAAAAAGAGCACAAGAGTCAACCTAACAACATCCATTGCACAATTAGTTTTTTTTTTTTAAAGATTGGCACCTGAGCTAACAACTGTTGCCAACCTTCTTTTTCTTCTTCTCCCCAAAGTCCCCCAGTACATAGTTGTACATTCTAGTTGTGAGTGCTTCTGGTTGTGCTATGTGGGATGCCGTCTCAGTATGGCTTGATGAGCGGTGCCATACCTGCACCCAGGATCCAAACTGGTGAAACCCTGGGCTGCCGAAGCGGAGCGCACGAACTTAACCACTCAGCCTTGCAGCCGGCCCTGCATTGTTAGTTCTTATTCGTGTAATTTTTGAGTTTAACTAAATGTCTATGATAGAATATATGTAAAAAGTGTTTGTTTTAAAATAAATTTACAAGGTATTTAGAAATAGGTATTACAGTCTTGTATAAAGTAACAGAATTTAAACCTATGCCAAGGCATCTGAGGTCAATCTTTGAATCATAGATGCCTCTGTTTTTTAAACTGGGACTATTACCATCTCCTGTGCACTTTAACTCAGAAGCAGACAAAGAAGATTAAAAAATAATTTCTGCAAAGCACTTTGTATTCCTTGGAGAATAGATATTATCATCATACATTATGTTATTATCTTGTTGAATATGCATGATTTCCAGTACCACACAAAGTATATCTAGACATACTTTTCCATCTCATTGCATCATCTGGCGTCAAGCTGAGTGAAATCTAGGTGGTTGTTATTTCAAGGGTCAAATACTCAGAGGCAAAACATATGCTCCAAATAATATATAATGCTTTTAAAATGATAAATCATTGATGTGCCTGCTTACTGGAACTTTCTTACCTATTCTATGTAGTAAACTCAGACACTTATTTTTTCAACAACACACAATACTAGTTATACATTTAAAGCTTCAGAATAAATTTATAAATATTAAAAATATCATTTCTTTTCAATAAATTGATGCCAAGTCTATATTCAGTTGTGCACGTATTTTTAAAATGTATCTCCAAAAGGAAAAGGTAAATTTTTACATATGGAACATGTAAAAATAATTATTTGACACAACTTTTATATTATCCATAAGTAATCATAACTAGCTTTATAGTCAATGAAATTTCAGTTGTGCTACCCATCACATTTTGAAATAAAGGGAAACAGTGAAATAAAATTCCAATTGCATGTTTTTTGCTTTTTAACTAGCAAAATAATAGTAGCAGTGATTCAATGGTTTTCAAATGTTTCTATTCTAGGAGGTACTCTAAACTTTTATACTGATATTACCAGCCCTTAAATAGGCCAGCTTTGAATTGAGAAGCTTAATTAAGACAGCCTGGCCCTAGAAGATCAGGCAGAAAGAGGAGGAAATAAAAGGAAGGAAAAAAAGGGCTATTAAGGAGACTTTAAGCAAAGAATTCTCAGGGCCTGCCTGGTGGCATAAGTTCACAAGCTCTGCTTCAGTGGCCCAGGGTTTGCAGGTTCGGATCCCAGGCGTGGACCTGGCAACCACTTGTCAAACCACACTGCGGCGGCATCCCACATAAAATAGAGGAAGATTGGCAACAGATGTTAGCCCAGGGCCAATCTTCCTCACACACACACACACACACAAATTCCTGGCAAAATGTGATCTTACTTCATGTGCTGATGAAAGGGAAGGAGTCACAAGGCAGATATTTCAGTTGACAATTAGACAATTCTGTGAACACTGCTCAGTCAGAATGCCCAGTGCATGCAATTTAAACAAAATTCCAAGACATGATAACTACATATTATTATAAAAGATTACAATTTATTATTATTAAATAATGATAGAAACATATTATAAAATTGAGTAAGATTAGAATTCATGAGTCCATATCAATATAAATAAATATTTAAAATATGAACACTGAAATATTTAGGGGTAAAGAGGTATCATGCTTACAACTTATTTTTAAGTTGTTCAGAAAAAGGTAATAAAGCAAATGTGGCAAAATGGGGAATCTAGGTAAAGGGTATATGGGAATTCTCTGTACTATTGGAACTGTTCTAAAACCTGAAATATCAAAATAAAAAGTAAAAAAAAAAAATCTGTATTAACAATAGAGCTACCATTTACAGATTACCTACTATCAGTCAGGCATTGTACTAGGTGTTTTACTCATATTATCTTTAGTCTTCGCAACAATCTTTTAGGGTAGGTATTATCATCAATCTCATGTTTTTAAACACATAAGAAAATAAAGGCCCCAAGTAATTCATCCAAGAACAGAGATCTAATAAGTAGCACAGCCAAGTTTCCAACCAAATCACACTCCAAAGCTTGTACTCTTTCCACAAGGTGGTAAACACAGAAGTGGTTTAGACAGAGCTCTGGTTCCAGAGTTACAGACTTAGATTTGAGGATTTGAATCCTCCATACTATTTATCAGTCATGTGACAACAAGCAAATTACTAACCTTAAGATTTCTTTTTTGTTTTGGAGATGGTGTCTAATGATCAGTGTCTACCTCACGGGTTATTGCAGATTAAATAGAATAAAGCATGTAAAGCACTCGAGCACGACAGCCAGCCTACCATAACAATACAAGTGTTTCTTTCTATGTACTTCGTCCTACCTTTCCTGAAAAACAATGCTTTAGACACTGCTGAACTCTGTATCATAGCAATCATATCTAGTTAACTTCCTTTCTTACTGTCATAAGATAGGTATTTAAAAATTCACCAATCCTAGAAAATTAAGCAGTTCAAACCAACAAATAAATGTCCCTTACCTTAAGCAGGAAACTACTTCAATGTTATTACAGATAATACTAAATATTACTGCAGTAGATTGTCTACAGCTGCTGGAACAGAAACCAAGTCTATATAAATGGTATAAATAAGACATTTACCAAATCATATGTTTAAGATTGTTTTCCATTAAAAAGTGAGAATAAAAAGATTGAGGCTGAAAATATCGAGTATGAATTAATCAGAAAAATTAACCTAGGTTAAAAAAAGCTAATTCTAGTAATTCTGAAAACAAATGTTTTGGGCTTCAAATGTCTCTTATAAGGGAAGGATACAGTAAAAATACATTACCATCTAGTGAAATTCCCATCCTTAAAGAAGATGAATAGACTTTAACTCTAGTTACGGGGTTAACCTGATCTGTTCATTTATGTGTAAACAAAAAACACAAGAAAGTAGGACAAGAGTTTTTCCTTACCTTATTGTCTCTTCTATCAAACGATCTGAGCTGCAAATAAAAGAAAATTCAAATTCTGGAATTATTAAAGCACATTTAAAACTTGTACTTAATTTTTCTACACTTTATAGATAGGTTAACTTTTCAGCCATTATGTAAACAGAATACCCAGACTTTTGAAAGCATCTGGACAAAATTCTGGACTCTGAAATAAACTTAATTTATCCATACATGTAATTTTCCTCCTACTTGTATTTGCTAGCTGAAATCTATTTCTTCCACAGAGATACTTAATAATTAAAGTCAGAACAGTTTTTTTAAGATTTTTTTATTTTTCCTTTTTCTCCCAAAGCCCCTCGGTACATAGTTGTGTATTTTTAGTTGTGGGTCCTTCTAGTTGTGGCATGTGGGACACTGCCTCAGCACGGCTTGATGACTGGTACCATGTCCATGCCCTGGATCCGAACCAGCAAAACCCTGGGCCGCTGAAACAGAGGGCGAGAATTTAACCACTCGGCCATGGGGCCAGCCCCCAAGTCAGAACAGTTTTAATGACAGCATAAAGAAATGAAACTTCTTTAATCTAGATAGCTGAACGATGTCACCACTGTCTATTCAAAACTTAAGAATTACAACCAACTTGTTGAGACAGGATAGGCAAATACACAATCATGTGCCACACGATATTTCAGTCAACAACGGACTATATAAACAAAGGTGGTCCCATAAGATTAGTACCATACAGCCTACGTGTGCAGTAGGCTATACCATCTAGGTTTGTTTAAATACACTCTGTGATGTTGCACAATGACAAAATCACCTAGTGATACATTTCTCAAAATGTATCCCCATCGTTAAGCAATTCATGAATAGTTCTGATGCCTACAAGTAGTAATTATTTACACCTTAAAGTTCCTTCCTTTTTTGGGAAACAGTTTTTTTGGAAAGAAAACCAAGTCTCAGCTTACCAAACATTAGAATTCAAGAATCTGAATAAAGACAGCAAATGCACCTTTGATCTGTAAAACATCTGCCTTCATGCATCACACATTGGAAAGAAAGACACAAATGAAAAAACAATTTTAGGGAGGAATTAATAGGTAAGCTAAGTTTGGTAAAGGGGTAACTTTACAGCAGAAAGAAGGAACTCCTTGATATCTGTATATCTGTATCCATTTGGCACAGTGTAAGGAATACAGTAGGCACTCAAATACTTGCATATTTTTTCCAACTACTTCCTTCCAAAAGAATTTCTAAGTTCACTGTACAAACTAATAAGTTGAAGTTTCATTATAAAGTGGTGGACCAGAAAATCTAAATATTGCATGGACTAGGGCCAAAGACGAGCTTTAAAAATGTCATAAATATCATATATAAACATGTGATTAAGAATTTCAAAAATTACAAAGATAGTGGAGGGATTAAAAGCTAGACTGTGTGGCTTTTGAATGCTGGCTCTACCACTTATTAACTATCTGACCTTAGGCAAGTTACTCTGTGCCTCAGTTTTCTCATCTGTAAAATGGCAATGATAAAGAAAAAACCTACTTGTTAAGAGGATTTAAGAAGTTTACATATATGTATGATTAGAACAGGACCTAGTACATTGATAAGCACTAACTATTTTTTGCTATCATTACAGTAGTTTCTCAATAACTATGGACTAATTCTAAATCTAAGCATAAAGTTGATATAAATTTCCAGATAAACCCACTGTTCTGGTAAAATCTATTAATTACAAAACATGTATTTATTTTGTTAACAAATGTGTACGGAAGTGCCCCTGGAGTGTACTGGGTCAGATCAGACAGGGGTTACAAAGACAAGGCATCAACCTCCATAGATCTTACAAAGATAGACAATATATAGGCCTACGGGTATCTTGGTAGAGTGATCACAAAGTCACAAAAGAGGGAGTGGTTAACTAGACTTGGGTTAATACCTCCTTGTTCAATACAATGGTTTGGTTGACTGTCCTCATCAAGGCCTTTTAGTACATCAAAGGGCATATAAATGAGATATTTAAAAATCCAGGCAGTATAATATGAAAATAAATAATTCTATTGCCAAGCTCAACAAACTAGTTTTGTATTAACAGCCTTAATGAAGATAAAATCAATTAAATAAACTACTAAATTAAGTGAAGAGTAGACTATTAATTTGCTAATTTGTTAAAAATGATGACATATTTGCTAAAAATACTTATGGAGAGTTTATAATGAGACATGTACTGTTCTAAATACCATAAGGATGCCACGAGAAAAGAAAATTACTGGTCAATATTCCTGATGAGCATATATGCAAAAACCCTCAACAAAGTATTAGCAAACTGAATTCAACAATATATTAAAAGGATCATACACATGATCAAGTGGGATTTATTCCAGGGATGCAAAGATGGTTCAACATCCGCAAATCAGTCAATGTGATACACCACATTAACAAAATGAGGAATAAAAATCATATGACCATCTCAATAGATGCAGAAACGACATTTGATAAAACCCAACATCCATTTATGATAAAAACTCTCAACAAAGCAGGTAGAGAGGGAACGTACCTGAATATAATAAAGGCCATATATGACAAATGCACAGCTAACATAATCATCAAGGGTGAAAAGCTAAAAGCTTTTCCTCTAAGATCAGGAATAAGACAAGGATGCCCATTCTTGCCACTTTAATTCAACACAGTATTGGAAGTCCTAGCCAGAGCAATAAGGCAAGAAAAAGAAATAAAAGGCATCCAAAGTCAAAAGAAGTAAAACCATCACTATTTGCAGATGACATGATATTACATATAGAAAACCCTAGAGAATCCATCAAAAAACTATTAGAACTAATAAAGGAATTTAGCAATGTTGCAGGATACAAAATCAATACACAAAAATCTGTTTCATTTCTATACACTAATAATGAACTGTCAGAAAGAGAAATTAAGAAAACAATCCCATTTGCAATTGCATCAAAAAGAATAAAATACCTAGGAATAAATTTAACCAAGAAAGTGGAAGATTTGTATATTGAAAACTACAAGACATTAATGAAAAAAATTGAAGACACAAATAAATGGAAAGACATTCCATGTTCATGGATTGGAAGAATATTGTTAAAATGTCCATACTACCCAAAGCAATATACAGATTCAACGCAATCTCTATCAAAATTCTAATGGCAGTTTTCAAAGAAATAGAACAAATAATCCTAAAATCTGTATGGAGCCATAAAAAGACCCTGCATAGCTAAAGCAATCTTTAGAAAGAAGAACAAAGCTGGAGACATCATGCTTCCTGATTTCAAACTGTATTACAAAGCTAGATTAATTAAAACAGTATCGTACTGCATAAAAACAGACACAAAGATCCACTGAACAGAATAGAGAGCCCAGAAATAAATCCATGCATACATGGCCAATTATTTTATGACAAAGGAGCTAAGAATATACAATGGGGAAAAGACAATCTCTTTACTAAATGATGTTGGGGAAATTGGACAGCCACATGCAAAAGAATGAAACTGGATCACCATTTTACACCATACCCAAAAATTAACTCAAAATGGATTAAAGACTTGAACATAAGACCTGAAACCATAAGACTAGAAGAAAACATGGGTGGTAAGGTGCTAAGCAACCTGGCATAGGTCTTAGTGATGATTTTTTTGAATTTGACATCAAAAGCAAAAGCAACAAAAACAAAATAAACAAGTGGGACTACGACAAACTAAAACCTTCTGCACAGCAAAGGAAACCATCATCAAAATGAAAAGGAAACCTATTGAATGGGAGAAAATATCTGCAAATCATATATTTTATAAGGGGATAATACCCAAAATACATAAAAAACTTAAATAACTCAATAGCAAAAAACCAAACAATTCAGGGGTGGGCCCCTGTTGGCATAGTGGTTAAGTTCGCACGCCCTGCTTCAGCAGTCCAGGATTCACAGGTTCAGATTCCGGGGATGGACCTACACACCGCTCATCAAGCCATGCTGTGGTGGCATCTGACATACAAAACAGAGGAAGACTGCCACAGATGTTAGCTCCGGGACAATCTTCCTCAAGCAAAAACAGGAAGATTGGCAACGGATGTTAGCTCAGGGCCATTTCTTCTTCACCAAAAGAACAAAACAAAAAAACAATTCGATTAAAAAATGGGCAGTAGGGGCTGGCCCGGTGGTGTATGCTCTGCTTCGACAGCCTGGGTTTGTGGGTTCAGATCCCAGGTGTGGACCTACACCCCTCATCAAGCCATGCTGTAGCAGCAACCCACATACAAAATGGAGGAAGACTGGCACAGATCTTGGCTCAGGGCCAATCTTCCTCAAGCCAAAAAAAAAGGGCAGAAGATCAGAGTAGGTATTTTTCTAAAGAAGACATACAGAAGGCCAACAGGTACATGAAAAGATGCTCTACATCATTAATATCAGGGAAATGCAAATTAAAACCACAATGAGATACCACCTTATACCTGTTAGAATGGCTATTATCAAAAAGACTAGAAATAACAAGTGTTGGTGAGGATGTGAAGAAAAGGGAAGCTTTGCGCACTGTTGGTGAGAATGTAAATTGGTGCAGCCACTCTGGAAAAGAGTATGGAGGTTCCTCAAAAAAAAAAAAAAAAAAAAAAATAGAACTACCATATGATCCAGCAATTACACTCCTGGGCATTTATCCTAGAGAAATAAAACATTATGTTTATACAAAATGTTTACAGCAACTTTATACGTAATAGCCAAAAGCTGGAAATAGCCTAGATGTCCTTCAATGGGTGAATGGTTAAACAAATTGTGATATATTCATACCATGGAACACTACTCAACAATAAAAAGAAACAAGCTAGTGATATATGCAACAACCTGGATGAATCTCCAGAGAATTACATCGAGCGAAAAAAAATCAATCTTTAAAGGTTACATACTGTATAATTCCATGTACAGGCAACATTCTTGAAATGACAAAATTATAGAAATGGAGAACAGATTAGCGGTTGCCAGAGGTTAATGAGGGGGGTGGGAGGTGGGAGATAAGTGGGTGTAGCTACAGAAGGGC